AAAGACATGTGAACAGATATTTGAACTTAGAGATCTACTTTTAGAAGGCCGACCAATTCAGACTTAGAAACCTTCTCCTCTCTTTGCTCTTACTCAGTCTAACAGCAAACAACATCACTTCCTAAAGCAGGTGACCAGGAGATAGTGGATTGTAGAAGGCGTATTGAAGAGGAACGAAGAATGAGCGAAGAATTGGGAATTGGAAGACCTGGAATAGGTGTTGGTGCAAGATGGTGTGAGAATTGCATCATAGGAACGATGAGATTTGAAACCCGTCTATTTTCTCTGACTGTTACCTTGCCATTACCTCCAGACTTTTCTCCAGGCTTCTTGGCAGTTCTACTATCGCCATCATTACCATCACCACCACCATGACGAAGAATAAGTATATGGCCTAAATCCTCTCTCCAATAATGCTCGAAAACTTCGGACACTAATCAGAGCACATGTTGTGCCAATAAGATCTACCAGCTAAGATGAAATAGTTTTAGCTACTTATATGCTTATATGTTAGTCGAAATATCTCTTTTCATCGTCATCCTTCTCTTATTACTCATAGCATAACCACACCCCAATTGTCCACTAACAGTTCTGAAAAGGCAAATATACGAGTCAACTTGATGGAGNCTGCCAGAACGATGGAAAAAGGTCATTAACAAGAACGGCCAATATCTAATTGAATAAAGTTATATTTTTGAACAAAAATTCCGATTTTGCCTTCTTATTTGAAATCGGCAATGACGTAGTTGCCAACCTAATAGATGCCTTATCCTCATCGAACTAGCTTCTGTTAAAGACATGTGAACAGATATTTGAACTTAGAGATCTACTTTTAGAAGGCCGACCAATTCAGACTTAGAAACCTTCTCCTCTCTTTGCTCTTACTCAGTCTAACAGCAAACAACATCACTTCCTAAAGCAGGTGACCAGGAGATAGTGGATTGTAGAAGGCGTATTGAAGAGGAACGAAGAATGAGCGAAGAATTGGGAATTGGAAGACCTGGAATAGGTGTTGGTGCAAGATGGTGTGAGAATTGCATCATAGGAACGATGAGATTTGAAACCCGTCTATTTTCTCTGACTGTTACCTTGCCATTACCTCCAGACTTTTCTCCAGGCTTCTTGGCAGTTCTACTATCGCCATCATTACCATCACCACCACCATGACGAAGAATAAGTATATGGCCTAAATCCTCTCTCCAATAATGCTCGAAAACTTCGGACACTAATCAGAGCACATGTTGTGCCAATAAGATCTACCAGCTAAGATGAAATAGTTTTAGCTACTTATATGCTTATATGTTAGTCGAAATATCTCTTTTCATCGTCATCCTTCTCTTATTACTCATAGCATAACCACACCCCAATTGTCCACTAACAGTTCTGAAAAGGCAAATATACGAGTCAACTTGATGGAGTAGGCTGACTTTGAACATTCATTACCTTTTGAAAGTTTTATGTCCGAAGACACTTAGTAAAGTGGAAGAAGCAAAGCAAAATGAGCATTGAGAATTATGTGATGAGCGTAAAACTATTGATACTAGATTTTTTGAAACAGAAGTCAAGACATCTAACAGTGGTGTTATACTCTAGATACTGCAGTAGATTTCATTCAAAGTTATTGGACTAGGAGAGTGACACAATTATGCTCTTTTAATAACAGGTAATTCAATCCCTACTGTTTAATTATCAGCACCAAGCAACAATTAAGAATATTTCGCGATTTCAGTGCCACTTGGTCCTTTGGTAAATTTTTTAAAAGGAATATTTAACATCCCCCCCCCTGGTTACCATTCAATGTCATATTATTGACCTAAATTAATTACATCTTAAAATAAATACCTTCAATTAAATTATTAGCCCTTGAACGTTTCCATATTTAGAAATTTGAATTCGGAATCAATTTTCTATGGTTAAAGTAAGTAATTTCGAAAGACTGACTAATTTTATTTTACGCTACAATCTCTGTCTATTCGGATAACCTTGTAACTGTGTGGATTTAAAGTATCGAATGGAAAGGCGAATAAATGATTAGAGCCATTACTATTTTTAATTGTAACGGAAAACCGAAATTACTCAAGTTTTATTATGAAAGTGTGGGCTGATTTATTCACTGTTGGTTTTTCTGATTTTATTAGATCGAATCGGAGCAGCAAGTTTTTCTTCGCGAAATCTATGAATTACTTCATAAACTATCGAATAATTCCTGTAATTTTCTAGAAACGCAAACGATTGTTGTTTGAAAGGATTTATTTGAACTGGTTTTTAGGAAAGACAGTGAATATCGTGTAATTTATCGACAGTATTCAACAATCTATATTATCATCTGCGTTGATTTATCAGAAAGCGAGTTTGGGGTACTTGACCTTATTCAGGTATTTGTGGACTTACTGGACCGAACCTTTGAAAATGTCTTCGAGTTAGACATCGTTTTCAATTCGGACAAGGTGACAACACCGATTGTAATGTTATTAATTTTAGGTTCATTTTCTTTTGAATGAACTTGTTTGTGGAGGTATTGTTCTTGAAACCAATTGTGCTGAAATTCCCAGATGAATGAAGGAACAAGATCAGATTGGAAAGGTGTCCTCAGAAACCTCTTCGCACACAAGCATTAGAAATTCATCCAATATTTCGACAAAGTTGCTGTCAGGTGTTAGGGTTGGTTCACGTTTCATTGCCTCTGTGGTTCCTACTCTCAATTCAGTTCTGGAATGGGCCTCTCAGTTGTCGACTTCTGCTCCCTCACTGCGCATATTCAACAGAACTGGTTTTCATGATCTCAAAAACGACCCCACTATTCATAGTACAATTACTGATAGCGAAGAGACTGAGAAGATTTGCCTGTGACGTGATGAGAAGACTTCCTGGTGGTATTGTTGCTCGTGTGATTTGTGGATTGAGGCACATGTCTTTACCATCTTTTGCATTTCAATAATCTGCCTTCGTTTTGTTCTCGTTGTAACTTTTTTGTGCGCATTATTAAAGTGTAAATAATATGAATGTGAACCGTCTGTATTAAAATGGGGCTAATCGAGTGAGATTGAGAATACTAGTGTTATTCATATTTCTAAACTCCTTG